CCAAAAAAAAAAACATCTCCCTAAAAAAAAAAAAAAAAAAAAAAAAAGGGCTATGGAAAGATAAAAATAATTTAAGACAGGTTTAATATTTAACAAATGATGTCATTGGCCCCCTTCCTGCTTTTATGTCACAAGTCCCTAAGGATAGAGCTATGTGGGGTGACGGGGAGGGGTCTATTTTCAGAGAGCTGGGAGGTGGCATCCCTACTTGCATACTTGTTCCTGGCTCACTGAGACACAGTGCGGCTTACGTGTGCACATTTAACAGATTCAACAGTGGCAAACTGTGTCTGCTGCCTTGCCATGGTGTAGCAGTTACATTGCTGGACTCCCCCATGGCCAACTGTGATTCGAGTCCTGGACCCAGTAGTTTGAAAGTCACACCAGGAATGTGCACATGTGTGCCCAGATCCCAGAAGGAGAATGAAGAAGGGACTGTGGCATGGCCATCCCCTGGGGGGGATGATTTCTCACTTTCCCTCTCAACATCACACCCCAAGCACACATGCCCTAAGGCAAAAGAAAAAAATTCTTAAAAAGTGAAGATTACACTTTTTCTTTTTAAAGATTTATTTATTATATACATTTTTATTTATTATCATTATTCTTACATTTTAACCAGAGAGAGACAGAGAAAAGAAGAGAAAGCAAGCCACCAGGTCCAGGACTTGAACTGTGGTCAGCCATATGGGACTCTAACACCTCAACCACCGCGCCACCTACCAGCCCCTACACTCCTGTTCCTAAGTAGCTGCTAGATCTCACACAATTCTCTCTACATCTAGTCCCCAGTTTCATGCCTGTGACCTTGAAGGAGCTGCACTACAGATTTTCTGCAGGCTCCTTTGAGTTCCAATAGAGCCAGCAGGAACCTGAAAACAAGGGGCTCCTTCTGGTCTGCGTCCTGGGTGCTCACCTGCCTCACCCTGCCCCAGCCCTGGGCTCTAAGATGTTCTGGGGAACCTGCCCACACCAAGTCTATGAGAAGAAAATGAATTCAGAGTACACAAAGGTACCATGATACCTAGACATTTTTCTAAGACAGTAGAAAAAGCTGGTAGAAAATGAGAGGTGCCTGTCGCAACACCCATTCTTCTTCCTTAGGAACAGAACCAGATTCTATCTGGAGAAGTGATTCTGCCAGTCCCACTAGCAGCTACCCTGGCACTAAGCAGAGGTGTGGTGAAGAGAGCCTGGAAAGAGCCCTTACAGAGGTGGAAAGGCTGTGCTTTCTTTGTTCTTTGCTCCACCACGCTGCTGGAAATGTGGCCATTAGGGTGGGAGCTCTGGAAGTCATCTCTGCCTGGAGGTGAGGTCTACCCTTACTGTTCAAGGAGCCCTGCTCACTGTACAGAGCTACCATGCCTGCCCTGCCGACCTCAGGACTTCCGCATGCAAGAAACTGCTACCGGGCGCCAGAAGGAGGTGATATGGTTAGGGCATTTGAGTTCCACATGGCTGACCATGGTTCAAGTCCTGGACCATGGCTTGCTTTCTCACTTTCTCTCCGTTCTCCCTCCCTCTCGCTGGTCAAATTAAAAAATAATAAAGTTAACTATTAAAAAAAAAAACAAACCTACGTTTATTTAAGCTGCTAATTAGTTGTTTTCCCTCACATGTCCCTGCACGCAAGCTTGACCAATAGAGGGTAGTGGTAATTCAGAGGGAATGAATGCAGAAGACAAGGTATTGGAAACCTGGTACAGAGCAGTGGGACCCGGATTCTGACGCTGTACAGGCATGCTTCCTTGACACTGCACTTCACTCTGGAGAACACAACGGAGAAGCCCAGACAGTACCTCAAATTCCAGGAAAAGCCTCCAGCTTTCTTCCCACTTCTGGACACCTTCGAAGAGTTCCTTATGAACGTCATAGTAGTTCCTTAACCGTACAACCTCAGCGTCATGGAGCTGGAGCAGGTTTTCCGTGTAGTCCTCTGCAAAATATAGGCCTCGTAGTTTGAGAAAATCCTCTAGTATTTAGTATCCCAGTTTACTGATGCCCCACTCCTCTGAAATGGGAATTTTTTTTCTTCTTTATAATAAGACACAAGGATAAGTACATATATTATTGCTCAAAAACCAGGTTTGTCTTAGACCCTAGTCAGCCTCAGGGCAGAGACCAGAGTATAGACTAAATGACTGATGTTCTCAAGAATGTGTGCCCTCTCTCGACTTGTCTCAAACCTCGTACATAATCTTCCTTTCCACGTTGCTGAGCCAGGCAGCTATGTCATAGAAAATGTCCCAACACATGTGTTGAACTGAGTCAGGACACTTTGGGAAAGACCACAAAGCCAGTGAGCTCTAGGAGTCACACTCCTTGGGCTTGCTCCTTGGGCTCAGGTGTAGGCCCTGGCATCTACCCGCTGTGTACCGCAGGCTAAGATGCTCTGCTCGTGCATGCCTTCAAGTCCTCCATTTTGACACGAGGAGAACAACACCTTGTTCAGGGTACAACACTGCAGTTGGCATAAATGAGCATCTGATAAACTTGAGCTTCACAGCTAATGGGAACAGTGATACTGCTTCAGAAAGCAAAAGACCCCATATTTTCTTTTAAGATTTTTGACCTAGGGCAAGTGGGCTTACCAGAAAGAAATAGAGAAGTAAGAAGTAAGAGGGATGGCCACACTGCAGTCCCCTCTGCTCCATACTCCTGGGATTTTGGGCACATGCATCTAGCATGTTTTGTAAGCCGCTGGGTCTGAGACTTGAACCACGGAGTTGGTCATGTGGGATCCAGTGCCCTAATCACCACACCACCTGCTAGCCAAGGACCCAATATTTTCTAAGTGCATTTGTGAATGCTTATTTACAAAAGAATGACAATGAAATCGAATGATGAGAAGAATGGATGCATCTATTCAGAAGAGGAAATACCTCTTGGTGAATATCTGGGCTTATAAGGACAAGACAGCAGGGCCCTTCAACAGTACCACTTCTCTACTAACCAGAATAGTAAGGGGCAAAGGCCTGTCTCTGCTCCTGGCTGTAAAAGCACTGGTCCCAGTACTGAGCCAGCTCCACTCGAATTGCCTCAATCACCTTCTTCATGTTCTGCATTTTCAGTTCTTCTAGCCGATCCACTTCTAATTGTAGCTAAAATAAAGAGAATTGTTAAGGGTGGCTGCCCTACTTTTGTATTAATGTGAGTTTGCAAAGTTTTTCCCTTTTTAGGGAGTTGGTCATGTGGGATCCAGTGCCCTAATCACCACACCACCTGCTAGCCAAGGACCCAATATTTTCTAAGTGCATTTGTGAATGCTTATTTACAAAAGAATGACAATGAAATCGAATGATGAGAAGAATGGATGCATCTATTCAGAAGAGGAAATACCTCTTGGTGAATATCTGGGCTTATAAGGACAAGACAGCAGGGCCCTTCAACAGTACCACTTCTCTACTAACCAGAATAGTAAGGGGCAAAGGCCTGTCTCTGCTCCTGGCTGTAAAAGCACTGGTCCCAGTACTGAGCCAGCTCCACTCGAATTGCCTCAATCACCTTCTTCATGTTCTGCATTTTCAGTTCTTCTAGCCGATCCACTTCTAATTGTAGCTAAAATAAAGAGAATTGTTAAGGGTGGCTGCCCTACTTTTGTATTAATGTGAGTTTGCAAAGTTTTTCCCTTTTTAGTAAAATTGCAACACAGACACAGAGGAAAATCAGCACTCTTTATAGAGTAACAATACCAAAGGAACCAGAACACTAAGGAACATACACAGAAGTCAGAAGAGGAGCAGGCGACTACCACCCTTTTCTTATATTTGTCTTACTTTTTATTATTATTATTTTTTTTAGAGATAAATTTTTGCTTATGCTTGCTGGGAAGACAGAGACAGACAGGCAGAAAGCAAGACCTCCCCCCCCCCAACCCCGGGAGATGCCCCATTGCAAAAACCTTCTCTTCCATTCTCCTCTTGGGATTTTGGGCATACATGCACAAGCACCTGACCTGAGTTTTACCCCACCAGGTCTGGGACTTGAATTATGGTCAACTACATGGGAATCCTGCATCATAACCATTACACCATCTACTACTATTTTTACAGTTTATTTTCACCAAACACAGAGACAGAGAAAGTGTCCCCTATGGGACACGGTCATGTGCATCCCCTTTTCCTCCTGTTCTCCATCCTGTGAGATTCTGAGCATGCATGCACACCTGCCTAGTATGTTTTTCAAGATGCCAGTCCAAGACTTGAACCACAATCAGCCATGTGGGACCCAGCTTCTTATGCATAGAATTTAATTGCTGCACTAACAGGGTTAGCTCCCCAACAGAATCTTTTTTTTTTTTTTTTGAGAGGGTTTTTGCTATAGGGCACATGCACTCGCAGACAGAGAGAAAGAGAGAGAGAGAGAGAGAGAGAGAGAGAAAGAAAGCAAGAATTCACCCCCTAGGGGGGATAGCCATGCCACAATCCCTTTTCCACTCTCCTCTTGGGATCTTAGGCACACATGTACATGTGCCCAGTGTGAGTTTAAGCCATCAGGTCCAGGACTCAAACAGCAGTCGACTACATGGGAGTCCAGTGACATAGCCATTATGCCAACTGCTGGTCCCGTCCCCAACAGAATCTTGACATCACAATCCACTCCAGCTATGCCAGCCCTAGATCATGGGCACTCGCGTGCCCAGCATACTTAGGGGAGTTCTTCCTGCGAACCTGGAGACCCACCTGGGTCAGCCTCATCGAGTGTCATGTTCTACCTCTGCACTGGTTGCACTGCTCTTAGGTTGGCCCAAGGCAGAAGCAGGTATGGACACGAGACTGGACACAGACTCTGCTCGTGGAGGGCCAATGACCCACATTCACTGGTTTCTTACCGCTTTCCTGACCTTGGCCCTTGACCCAGTCATAATCATGGCCACAGCTTCTCTCTCTTCTGCAGGTATTTGCAGCCTGTCCCAAAGCTCTCGGATTTGAGCACGCAGCCCCTCACACACTGCTTCATTTTGTGATTTTCGCATTTCCAGCTGCAACAAGAAAGGCCAGTAGTTACAACAAAGCAGTAGTGCAGAGGTTAACCTCTTGGTGGCCAAAAACGAATGACTGGACCACACAGAGGATGCACTTCAGTGAGGCACGTTTTCCTGCCTTATGAACACAAACTGTCATTACAGCAGGGCCTTACACCCTAAGAATCAGGATTCCAATTTTGAACTGCAAAAATACTTTTCAATTAAACACTAGGCTAATTCAAATGACTAATATTATTTCATCCAAAATGTCAATTTGATAATGTTACAGCTATATATAAAATTTTGGTTAAAAAAACCATACATTATCATCTTTAACTTTCCTTATCTCTTAATTTATGCAGGCTCCTTATATAAGACAGAAGACAAGACACAGTTGTTTTCAAACTACCATGTATCATGGATATCCCAGGCCATGATCTCAGAAGACATTACCTGCCGAAGCAATTTCTGTAGTGTGGCAATGTTCTCCAAAGATAAGCAAAAGGCATCTTCATCTTCGCACACCACATCTCTTTCAAAGCTTGTGTCTGGGGTGTGCTCCAACTCTTCCATACACAGGACAATCTGTCTCTTTATGTTGACGAACTCCTCTCGCCTAGAGGCCTGCAGAACAAAGCCATTAGAAGATACCTAAAAGATGGCACCAGCAGTGGGACCAGCAGGTGGCGTAATGGCTATGTTGCTGGATTCCCACGCAGCCGACCACAGTTCGAGTCCCGCCTGGTGGCTTAAACTCACACTGGACACATGTGTGTGCATGCCCAAGATTCCAAGGAGAATGGAGAAGGGACTGCGGCGTGGCCATCCCCCCGGGGGGTAATTTCTCGCTTTCTGTCTCTCTCTGTCTTTCTGGCAAGTGCACACGCCCTATAGCAAAAACCTCTCAAAAAAAAAAAAAAAAGATACCTAAAAGAAAGCCAAATGGACCTGTAGAAAGCAGAAGGGTGCAGTATACCTTGGTTTCCCTCAGAGTTGACACATGTTGTCTAAACTGGCTCAGCTCTTCCAAGCTAGGAACTGAGGTGCTGTCGATGTCATAGTGGGGCTCACAAAGGATTTCACACAGTTCTTGGTCTTGTTCTTGAAGTAGCTTCAGCTCCTGTTTCCTCTCCTTTTTCTGTTTTCGCATCAATTCCACCTGAGTGCGCAAATCTTTTTCTAGCTGCAAGATGGTTGTCTCTCCCTCTTCCTGTAAAAGACAATGCCCTGTAGTTATAAGGTTTTAAGTGAAGGCCTTCGAAGGAAGACTAGGACGACAGAAGAGGGTTAGGACAGGGCTAGGACGACAGACTTCTAGTTAAACTTACAGTTAACTAAGTCAACTCAAAGCTAACTTATGGCACAGAGGGCCTCCAACAAAAGGTCCCCGATAAGGAAAAGTGAGTGAATACGTATCAGGGCTTTTTTTTCCCCTCAATTGACTTTTATTATGACAAAATATGTAAAACATAAAATTCCCATCTTAACCATGTATGGGGCCTCCCAACAAAATCCTCTGCCTCAGCCTCCCAAGTTGCATGAACATGGTATGTGCCACCACGCCTTTTTCAGGTTGGGCCAAGAATCAAACCAGGGCCTCCCATGTGGTCTCAACCTTAGTGCCAGTGCACAGGGGTCTTAGCACTCACTGCACACCACCATGGCTAGGCCCATCTTAACCTCTTGTTTGCTTTGCACTATATGGGTGTTTACACTGCCAGGAAGGGGAAGGGCAGGAGGGAGAGAGAGAGATGAGGGAGGGAGAGAGGGGGAGAGAGAAAGAAAGTGAGAAATCACCCTCTAGGAGAGATGGCCACCACAATTCTTTTTTTTTTTTTTTTTAAGTTTTATTTTATTTATTCATTCATTTATTTTAATCTGACCAGAGAGAGACACAAAGAAATATAGAGGGAAAGTAAGAAAGCCACTCCAACCCACCTGCAGGTCTAATCTTTTTATTTTTTTCTCCAAAGTTTTCCTTTAGCATCTTTGTTTATTATCATTCTTCCTTGCTTGGCTCTGTACTCCTAGTATGACTATTAGCTCTGGGCATGTAAACAAGTTTCAGTCACCTTTTTTGCACTTACAAAATGTAACTCCCTACTCATAGCTCTATCCACTACCCAACGTCATGGCTTTCGTGAGAACTACTCACTTCTTTTTTTTTTAATTATTTATTTAATTATTTATTTATTCATTCATTTTTTTAAAATTTGACCAGAAAGACAGAGAGAGAGAGAGCGAGCGCGCGCGCGCAAGCCACCAGGTCCGAGACTCGAACCGTGATTGGCCATGTGGGAGTCCAGCGCCCTTATCCACCACGCCACC